ATCTATCCCTCTCTCTGGCGAGCACATTCACCCTAAGGCAAAAACCTCTTTTAAAAAAATGATACAAATATATGTTCAAGGAGCCAGCAGATGGTGTAGCAGTTACATGGCTGAATTCCCACAAGGCTGACCACAGTTCAAGTCCCGGACCCAGGGGTTTGAAAATCATGCTAGGCACATGTGTGTGTGCCCAAGATCCCGGAAGGAGAATGGAGAAGGGATTGCGGTGTGGCCATCGACGGGGGTGATTTTTCACTCTCTCTCTCACTATCTCTGTCTCTCTGGTGAGTGTTAACACCCTATAGCAAAAACCTCTTTGAAAAATACGTGTGTGTGTTCAAACTGAAAGTTTAAAAGAGCATGTGGAGAAAGTCTTCTCCCACTCTTCTCCTCACAGAAACCAATACCCCCAGTTGCCTGTGCCTCCCAGAGATGCTCTGTGCACATCACGTTTATCGTTTTCCACTGCTGTAAACGGACCCCATGCACTGTTCTGCACCTTGCTTTTGTCACTTACCAAATCTTGGAGACTGATCCATTACATAAAATTCATTTTTCTGGCCATAGTGTGAATGTATTATAATTCAGTCAATCCCTTGCTGATGGACATTTAGGCTGTTTCCAACCTTTTCGATGTATATCTGTTTATTTCATGCATAGTAAGACACCATTTTCAAATAGTCTGAAGCATACAAAACCCCATCACATTTGGTTAGAAAAAGTGTTATTATTGTTTATTTAATTTAAAAGTGTTATCTTGATTCCTCATGGCTCCTGCAAACTAGTCATTTCAGGGGACAGGAAAAATGAGGATTTCCTACTGCTAATTCAGCCTCCAGCAAACAAAGCTAGCGTGGTAGGGAGCCCCTCTGGCCTTCTATCTCTGCCTCTGTGTCTCTGTCTTTGTCTCTCTCTGCTTCTGTCCTCTCATTTTTTGGTAATGTTTCCTTTTTATGATTTTTTTATGTTTGCTATGAAAATATTTAGATTAATTAAGATCTTTAGTAATTCAATAAAAAATTGGGGGTGGGGGAAACAGTATAGAAAGCAAACATAGATACCAGAGACAGTGTGGGAAGAGAGTGGGAGATGCCAGAGGGTAAGAGATAGGGAATCAAGGATGGGGGAAAAAAGGCAAAACATACAGGAAACAAGAAATGGAAAATTATTTATTAACAATAGCATGTATGTTGATGTGCTTGATTGAGACAATATACAGTGTACTCTGGATGGAAAATCTCATTTTGTATGCTGTAATGACATACAGTGAATGAATGTAAACAAATAAATTTAAATAAGACATTTTAAAAAAAAGTGTTATCTTGGGGCCAGCAGGTGACGGTTGAGATACTGGACTTCCAAATGGCCTACAGTGGTTCGACTCCCAGACCTGGCAGCTTGAAATGTATTCTGGGTGCATGTATATGGATGCCCCACATCACAGAAGAATGAAGGAGAAGGGCCGTCTTTCTGGGAGGTGATTTCTTACATTTCCTCTCACTCTCTCTCTCTGTCTACCTCTAATTAAAAAACAAAAGCAAAAACAAACAAACAAACAAAAACCATAAATTTACCTTACCATTTTTTTTCTTAACCATTCTTTTTTTTTTTTTTTTTTTTGGAGAGATTTTCACTGTAGGGCGCGTGCGCTCGCCAGACAGACAGAGAGAGAGACATAGAGACAGAAAGCAAGAAATCACCCCCCAGGGTGGATGGTCACGCCGCAATCCCTTCTCCATTCTCCTCTCGGGATCTTGGGCATGCACGCACACGTGCCCAGCATGAGTTTTTTAAGCCACCGGGTCCGGGACACGAACTGCGGTCGACTACGTGGGAGTCCAGCGACATAGCCATTACACTAACTGCTGGTTCCCTTAACCATTCTTAAGTCTACAGTTCAGTCATGTTAAGTATATTCACACTGCTATACAACTTTGAGAGCTCTTTCATCTCGTAAGATTGACCCATTAAACAATTCCCTATTACCCATCCCTGCCCCTGGCAACCACCACTCTGCTTTCTGTTTCGAGTTTGCCCATTGTAGGTACTTCATACAACTGGTGTCATGCAGTATTTGTCTTTTTGTGACTGGCTTACTAGCATCATTTTGCATAATGTCCTCAAGGTTCATCCCAGTTGTAGCACGTGTCTGCATTTCCTTCCTTTTCAAGGGTAAATAGTATCTCCTTGTATATATTTCATTGTGGTACATCAATCAGATATACCACATCTGGTTGATCCACTCATCTGTAGACGGAAGTTTGGGTTGCTTCTTTTGGTTACTGTAAATAATGCTACTGTGAATATAGTTACACAGATGTCTGTTTAAGTCCCAGCTTTCAGTTCTTTAGGCTATATAAGCAGAAGCTCCCCACTCATTTTTAAATGATATCCTTATTACTCATTCAAGTCTATGTATTTAGTCCTATTTCTGGACCTGCTGGCCTATCTAATCATGCAACCGTACTACAGTGCTTTCATAATTTTATTTTATAGCTTGCTTTTATTTCTCAGAGTCCAGGCTTCTATTTCCTGAGGTTGCAGCGGAAGTCCTGGGTTGTCAAGGTTTGTATCTGTAGCCATGAAAATGGGATGCTCTTATTTGCCAGCAAAAGACCACATGGCCACCCTTGAAGCAGAAAGAGGGGTAGGATATAGGGAGGCGCTGTCAGCCTTTTCCTAACCATAGGGACTAAGAGTGGGGTAAGGTCCACCCAAGGAAATTAGGGGTGCTGTTACCAGAGGGAAATGAGAGGGGGACCATAAGTGGCAATGGTTAAGGTGCTAGATCCCACATAGCCAACTGCATGGTTCCAGCCCCAGACCCAGAAGATGAAAGACATGCCTGATAGGGCCAGCACGTTGTGTGGTGGTTGGGGCACTAGACTCCCACATGGCCGACCACAGTTCAAATCTCACCTTGCTCTCTCACTCTCTCTGGTGAGCATGCATGCCCAAGAGCAAATTAAAACAATAATAATAGGGGCCAACAGGTGATGTGGTGGTGAAGATACTAGACCCCCACATGGCAGACCAGAGTTCAAGTCCCAGACTTGGCGGCATGGAACTCATGCCAGGTGCACGTATGTGAGTGTCCAAAACCCCAGGAGGAGAACAGAGGAGGAGTGACTGTAGGATGGCCATTCCCCCAAGGGAGTGGTTTCTCACTTTCTGCCTCTCTGTCTCACCAGCAAGCGTCCAAGCCCTATAACAAAAGTCTCTAAAAAGATAATAACGAATAAAATTAAATAAATAATTCTTTTTTAAAAAAAAGAAAAGAAAATAAAAAGGAGGGGCCAGCAGTTGGCGTAATGGCTATGTCGCTGGACTCCCATATAGTTGACTGTGGTTTGAGTCCTGGACCCGGTGGGGGCTTAAACTCACGCCAGGCAAGTGTGTGTACATGCCCAAGATCCTGAGAGGAGAATGGAGGAGAAGGGACTGCGGTGTGGCTATCCCCTCTGGGTGGTGATTTCTCACTTTCTGTCTCTCCGTCTCTGTCTTTCTGGCAAGTGCATGCACCCTATACCAAAAAACCTCTCCAATCAATCAAGCAATCAATCAATAGAAAAACATGCCTGATGCTTGCATTCCGTATTCCGAATCTCAAGAGATGAATGGAAAAGGAATTGTGACATGGCCATCATCCCAGGAGGTGATTTCACACTTTTCCTCTTGTTCTCTCTCCTCTCCTCTTTCTCCGTCTGTGGCAAGTACATATGCCCTAAGGCAAAATTTTGAGAAAATTTTTTTAAAAAAAGGAAAAAGAGGAAGCAAAAATAACAGATGGCGACTATGATGGGAGAGTCTCAGGGTCCGAGTCGACTCAGGGAGAAAGGCCTAGGCAATTACCACAAGCCTGACACCCCGCCAGCCCTCCCCACAAGCAGCAGGTCCCTGGATTATCACAACTAATCCTCTCAACAATCACAGGAGACACTGTTGTGAACTGAGCTGGGCCAATTTGGTCCCTTTGGTAGGCATTGGTGGCACATCCCACGCTCAGCTCCTGAGGTGTGGGAGAATTCTGCTTCACACACAGGTCCTTATTGCAGAAAGTTAGTGAGCAGGATCAAAATGATTTATACAGGGCCAGCCTGTGTGTGGCGGTGAAGGCAGCTGGATCCCGCATAGGCAAATGCAGGGTTGAGAGCTTCAGACTTAGCAGGTGTGTGTATGGACATGCCCAAAATCCCAAGGGGAGACTGGAAGAGACGGGATTGTGATGTGGCCATCCTCCGGGGGATCGATCTCTCACCCCCTCTCTTTCTCTGACTCTCTTCGGCAAGTGCATGCACTCTATAGCAAAAACCTAAGAAAAATTTTAATATTTATTTTGAATAGGAAATGTGTACTATGAAGAAATATACATGAATTTCAAAATATTTTTGCAGCATATAAACTTGGACTTCATTGTTTTTTTTGGGGGGGTGAGAGGTTTTTGGTATAGGGTGCGTGCATTTGACAGAGAGACAGAAAGGGAGAAATCACCCCCCAGCGGGGGATGGCCATGCTGCAATCCTTTCTCCTCCATTCTCCTCTCCAGATCTTGGGCACACACAAACATGCACCTGGTGTGAGTTTAAGCCACCGGGTCCAGGACTCAAAGCATGGTCCGACTACATGGGAGTCCAGTGACATAGCCATTATGCCAACTGCTGGCCCCCGTACTTCATTATTTTTTAAAGTTTTTTTGCCGCAGGGTGTGTACACTTGCCAGAGAGAGACAGAGACAGAGAAAGTGAGAAATTGCTCCCCAGTGGGGAGGGCCACACTACAATCCCTTCTCTATTCACCTTGAGGGATTTTAGGGACACACACACACACATGCCCAGCGTAATTTTTTTAAAAATTATTTAATTCCATTAAAAAAAATTTTTTTAAATATTCATTCACTGAACATCATCACCGCATACAAAATGCAATTTCCCATCCAGAATACACTGTATATTGGCTTAATCATACATGTTATAACAAATAATTTTTCATTTCTTGTTTCGTATATATATGTTTGTTTGTTTTCTTTTTTTTTAACAAAAGTTTATTCTTAAATGTACAACACGCTCTAAGGCAACACTTCATTCTAGCTGTAGCTGCTACGGTGGGGAATCCAGATGTTTAAATAGGAAAGGACTCGAGGGTGGTCGCCATGGTCCAGACACAAGGAGCACCTTACTTCTTGCCAGATTTCTTAATTCCACCTGAGGCAGGGGGCCCTTCCCTGTCGCCTTCGCTTTTAGCTCCTCGAGCTTCTGCTCCTCTTTTTGCTTCTGCTTGAGAGCCTTATCCTCCTCGTCCATCTCCTTGGCCTGCTTCTTGGGCTGTTTCAGGGGCTTCTTCTTCTTGCCACCTTCACGGCCAGACATCGCGCCTGCCGATTCTCTCCCAGACTCTGCCCGTTTGTTTGTTTCCTGATTCCCTATTTCTCACCCTCTGCCATTTCCCACCCTCCTCCCACACTGTCTCTGGTGTCTACAGTTGCTTTCCATTCCTATTTTTCCCCACATTTTATTGATTTACAAAATAGCTGAATTAATCTAAACACTTTCAATAGCAAGTTCAGCTGATATACACCTATCTGTGAACACATGTCTGACTTTAGACATAAAACTCAGTGAGTAGAATGAATATACTATTTTTTAAATAATTAATTATGTATTTATTTAATTACATTTGTCATTATTATTTTTTAATTTGACCAGAGAGAGAAAGGGAGAGCGAAAAAGCAAGCCATCAGGTCCAGGACTGTGCTTGGCTATGTTGGAATCCAGCGCCTTTAACCACCGCCCCACCTGCTGGCCCCAGAATGAATATACTGTAAGGTAGCACTTAGCTGAAGCTATATAGCTTACTGTGGTCATTAAATAGGTATTTTTTAATATACTTTTTAACTTCAAGAAAAGCAGTTTTAGTTTTGATTAAATCAAAATCAAAAAATGTTAAGAGGAAAGTTGCTTAAGACTTAAAGTCAGGAAACAGGTTAAGATTCCGTTCAAATAGTAGGTACATGAACCTATTGGCAGTTTAAGAGAAGACAAAAATCCTTAAATCTGGAAAACAAAGCATAGAAGAGAATCAGTAATGTTTTAGTCAAAAGTCATAAAATTCTATTTCACCAGTTCAATCTCAAGTATTAATCTCTCTTCTGTTGTGATCTGATCTTTCCATCTAAATTCTGGAAGATAACATTCAATTCCAGACTTGCCCCACAATTAAGTTGGCCATTTTCTTGATTTTTTTTTTTTTGACTCATTTCTGTGGGTCCGTCTTTAGTGTTCCCGGTATAGCACGCCCTTCAGCACTTATGGGACACCAGGTCCGGGACTCAAACTGTGGTCGATCATCTGGGAGTGTCCAGCACCTTAACCACTATGCCATCTGCTGGGCCCCCCTTGGTTGTTTTTTTTTTTAGAGGTTTTCGCTATAGGGCGTGACAGACAGAGAGAGACATAGAGACAGAAAGCGAGAAATCACCTCCCAGGGAGGATGGTTATGCCGCAATCCCTTCTCTTCCATTCTCCTCTCGGGATCTTGGGCACGCACACACACGCGCCGGCGTGAGTTTAAGCCACCTGGTCCGGGACGTGAACCGCGGTCAACTACGTGGGAGTCCAGCGACATAGCCATTATGCTAACTGCTAGTTCCCCTCCCACCCCCTTGGTTGTTTTTGAACTCTTATTTCTGTGTGCTTGTCTTTAGTTTTCCTGGTATAGTACTCCATTCAGAACTTCTTGGAGAACTGGTCTGGTGTTGGTAAATTCAGGCTTTGTTTACCTGAGAATATTTTTGTCTTTTCTTCCCATGTGAAGGATAATCTTTCTGGGTATAGTATTCTTGGTTGAAATTGTTTTTCACTTAACACTTCGAATGCATCTTCCCATTCTTTTCTCATTGTTTCTGATGTTATCCTGATGAGATATCCTTTAAAAGTAACTTCATGCTTCTCTCTTGCCAATTTTAGTATTTTGTCTTTGTCTGTGTCTTGGTCATTCTGGCTATAAAGTGTCTTGGAGACTATCTTCTTGGGTCTATTCTATCTGGGGTCCTCTGAATTTTTTGGGTCTGGATCTTTGAGTGCCTCTCTAGGTTTGAAAAGTTTTCTCCCAGGATTTTATGGAATGGGTTATTAATGCCCTTATTAGTCTCTTCACCTTCTGGGATACCAATTACCTGGATGTTTGGATGTTTAATGGTTTCTAGTATTTCTTGTATATTATTCTCATTTTAGGGGACTATTTTCTCAGTCTTCATGATCAATTTTTCTAGGGCAGAGATTCTGTCTTCTACATCTGAGATTCAGTCGTATGCATGATCTCATCTGCCTTTAATACTTTCAAGGGAGGTTTCGATTTCCTGTGTTACAGCCTTCATCTCTAACAGTTCCCTTTGATTCTTTTTTATGGCATGTATATCCTCTTTCCGGTCGTGCAAGAACTTCCTCACCTCTTAGAACTCACAGGCATCTCCTAGAGTTCATTGTCTCTTTTCTTTTGCATCTCTGTCAGCTTTGTCACTGTGAATATTCTAAATTCTTGATCTGACATTTCCATGAGTTCCATTGTACTGTCTGTAGATGAAGAGGAGTTGTTCTTTTCCCTTGAGGGAGAGGTATTTTCTTGGTTTCTTACATTTCTTGTACCTCTGCAGTGATTTCTGGTCATCTGATAGGTTATACATTTCTTCCTAAGTTCTTGAAGTTCAAACCGAGCATTCAGAGGCGAGCAGGGGGAGGTGATCTGCAATCTCTCTGCGGTTCCGTTTTTTTCCTTTTGTGTGGCAGATTCAGTGGGAATGGGAATAGTCTGACCTTAATAGTATTCAGGTGTTTGGCTGTGGTTCTCTTAGACCTGTCTAGACACTCAGTGGGTGGAGGCTGAGAAGCAAAGTGATGAAGGTAAAAGAAAAAGAGAAAAAAAAAAAGAAAGAAACTTTATTTATTTATTTATTTTAAAGCAAAAAGTGGGACCAGTGGGACCAGCAGTGGCATGGTGGTTAGGGCAGTGGACATTCCCACATGGCCGAACACGGTTCAAGTCCCAGACCTGGTGGCTTGCTTTCTTACTCCCCCTGTCTCTCGTCTCTCTCTCTCTCTGGTCAAATTAAAAAAAAAATAAAAAATAAAAAAAAAAGCAAAAGAAAAAAAGAATGAATGAACACAATTAAATAAATAATTATTAAAAAAAAGGCAAAAAGTGAGACAAATTTAAAGAGAGAGAGAGAGACAAAGAGAAGAATACAGGGGCACTCTACCACTTAAGACTAAAATCTGGAGGGTGAAGTCTCAGCAGAAAATCTTCAGTGGTCTTTGTCCCTCAAAGGAATTGTTCACAGCTCAGATGCAGGAGGTTTCTCAGAAGGCCTGAACTTTTGCCTTTCCACTCGAGATTGGGGTCTGGAGGGTGAAGTCACAGCAGAAAGTGATATTAGTGGTCTTAGTCTCTGAAAGGAATTGTTTACAATTTATATGCAGTACCCTGCATGATTTTCAAGCCATTGGGTCTAGGACATGAATTGTGACTGGCCATGTGGAAGTCCAGCATCTTAATCACCATGCCACCTGCTGGCCCCTGTACTTCACATTTTTTAAAAATTGTTAAAGGACCAGCAGTTAGCGTAATGGCTATGTCGCTGGACTCCCACGTAGTCAACCGTGGTTCGCATTCCGGACCTGGTAGCTTAGAACTCATGCCGAGCGCGTGTGCGTGCGTGCCCAAGATCCCAAGAGTAGAATGGAGGAGAAGGGATTGCGGAGTGGCCATCCCCCCTGGGGGGTGATTTCTCACTTTCTGTCTCTCTTTCTCTCTGTCTGGCGAGCGCATGTGCCCTATAGCAAAAACCTCTCTCTCAAAAAAAAAAAAAAAAAAAAAATCTGGGAAGGAAACACGAGTTAGAAA